TTAAAAAGGATAGGATTCAGTTTTAATGTAAAATAAACTGCATTTTTTCCCTTTGCCTTTTCTAGATATATTCAGCATAAAAACTATTTTTCCATGTTTAGTTTTAACTTTGAAGACAAGAAACAGACCTTCATGGTTTGTAATGTAAACGTTTTATACACACAACTAAATGTGTACATATATCTATACATTAGTTAAAATAATACATTTAAATGTACTTTTTACTCGTCTACCATCTGCCTCCTTAGATGTATTTCTTTGTGCATTCTTTTATTAATTTATTTTGTACCAATATTTATGTATTTCTCCACACCTGTTGCCAAAGAAGATGTCCGCCAGTGTTCAACATTGCACTTATCCAGCTGAGTACAGCCTGCCATTTACAGAAAACGCTTCGAGTTGAATGTGTACAGTAACTGATTAACAACAGTATTAAAACTTTTTTTGAATTTACATCCCCTGGTTTGTTGTGATTGAAATGAACAGGATGGGATTTTTATCAACTGAAATGATTGCTGTCTGAGAGTCCCTCCAAATTGAGTCGGTTATGTAACAAATATATCATTTTCTCTCGTTAACACACAGAAAGCTGTGCTTTATCAAAAAAAACGGAGCTTTTCCAGAATAGTGGACAAAATGGCTGCTTTTTGGACAGATGTACATTATGCCACATAAAAAGCTAACTTAGCAGACAATGCTAACTATTTTGCAGTATTTTTTGTTATTTTTAATACTGTATATTACGCTTTTTTTTGGAAGTTTTAGGTTTCGTACTTTTTGTTACATCTGTTCTGCTTCATGTCCCCTAAAACAGATGTTCTTAATCTCATTGGGACCCTCCTAAAGGTCAATTTAAAAAGGAGCACAGTGTGAAAACATCTTTTTTTTTTTCAATATTCGCCTTTTCCAAGAAAACTAGCCTTTTGTTTTTATTGTGAGCGTAAAATAAAACGTGAGTCCCAGTTTATCCCCCCTTGTCAAACAATGCAATGTGTACAATGCACAACAAATGGACGATGCAGAGGCCTCTTCTAACAATTAATCTTTTTTGCTCACACACACATACATATTTTGCAGTCATTGTGAGGACCACTTACCCATAGTCCCTTGTGAGGACGTCCGTTTCTGCTGTTGCCAGGAGGATTAAAAATGAAATATAGGAAGAGGCCTATGCGTCGTCAATCACAAACCACACACACACACACACACACACACACACACACACACACACAGCCCACAGAGAGGAAACCTTACATAATAAACGACAGGAGGCTCCTGCAAACGTTCATCATGCCATTTTTTCTGACATCTTACTCCCTCTGTAGCCTCTGGCTGACTCTGAAACATTTCTGCTGCTCAGCCTCGCACTAAATTGAATCAGTCAGAACGGCCTCTCCTTCCTGTTCCTCGGCAGTAAAACTAAAACATTTTCCCCTCAGAGCTCTTCTGGCTTCCCTCAAAATCTGAACCTTTTCCAGAGAAATGTCCTGGATTTCTTTAAAAAAAGAGATGCCCTTGCAGATCTTCTGGACATATCTGTGCTACATGTGCGCACAACCCGCAGCTGAAACATTGAGATATTGCAAAACGTTTACACTCTTTACAAAAACATCATTTTAGTAAAAAAGAAAAACGAATTTTAGACAAATCATCCAGTTTTTCAAAAGTATCTTAATTTGTGAAAAACTGCTTAATTTTAGAAAAACACCCCCAGTTTTTCAAAGATATCTGAATTTTTCAGAAAAATCCTAATTTTCTTAATGACTTCATAAAGAGTACCTCATTTTTCCAAAATATCGTAATTCCCTATTCAATGCATCGAAGCAACCTTAGCAGGAAATTAGCCATGTTGGCTAAAGCTGCCCCATTTACTGTTTTTGTTACAGCTAATTAATAATGTCCACAAAACCTTAAACCTAATACACTAAAATAAACTCGTATTTTCTACGTTTACATTTTGAATTGTTTATTTGTAGTCTCTTAATTTCTCTAATGTACAATGCCTTGTCTTTTTATGCTGCTGCCAAACATTTCCCAAATTGAGATCAATAAAGTACTTCTTATCTTATTATTTTAGGCTTACTTGTTCTCAAATATATTAGTTTGTTCATTTCTGGTGGCCTCGATGCTTTTATAACAACATAAATGTTCCTCTAAGGAAGAATTGTAATAACTGTAACATACTTTATGACTCTTCCTTCTGCAGGAATAAAGCTTGCTTCCTTTTCTGTTTTCTTGCAGACTGAAACAGCTTCAGTTTGTTATCTTAAAGCTGCAGTTAAACGGCTCTGATTCCTGGAAATGAGTTAACAGCAGCAGGAGGGAGGAAAGGGGGAGAAAGGGGGAGGGTATGGGTGTCTCTCTCACCTCCTGATGGGAGTTAATGGCCCATAACGTGGAGGTGAGGAGCCATTATGGGTCAGCCATTACCTGGAGAGACAGATGGCTGAGAGAGGGGCCATTGAGGGGCCACTCATCACCTCCAGGAGAAACAGGACAAACAAACACTGAGGCGAGAGGAAGTTATTCTGAGGCGTGTTAATATGGGTGGGGGGTTAGGGTTAGGGTTAGGGGGTTACAATCTCTGTCTTGTATTAATGGGAATAAACCAACCAAGAAAAGTTAAAACAGTTAAAACAGGCAAACTCTGAAGACTTTATTAAACAGCAGCTGGAAATTCTTAAAATGGAAAGCCACTTAAAATCCAAAAGACTCAAGACCTAATTGTTGTTTTTTACATTTCTTTATGTTGTGTTTTTCTTTCTAACTTTATTCATATTTATATATATATATTTATATTGATCACATATTAACCTTCTTGTATTGAAAAGTCTATCGTCTTAAAATCTCTTTCTTTTATTATTGGAAAACATGCTGCCAAGAAAAGTTAAACAGGCAAACTCTGAAGACATTATTAAACAGCTGCTGGAATAGCCATATCCCACTGCTATTGGTCAGTTTTTAAAAACGATTTAAATTCCTCAAAAATACCTTAATTCTTGATGTTTCCAAGTTTACTTAATTTTCTGAAAAATCCCCTAAAATCTCCACATTTCTAAAGAAAATCTGCCATTTTTTTACACATGACATGGCAACAGAACATCATTTTTCTAAAATATTTTATCTCTCAAAAAACCTCTTGATTTTTGAAGAAAATCAGATTTTTTGCATCAGGTTTGTATCCTGCAGACTTTAATAACTCTGATCATAACAGTGCTGCCCCCTTGTGGCCTGTCGGGGTATAAAGAGGCCAGTTGTCATTACTTTCCATGACTCAGGACATAAAAACCTTCATAGATCTGTTCATCATTTGTTCTGCAGGGTGGAAGACATATTCAGATCTGCACAAAATGTCCCTTTCTGCAAATAGTGATTATTTAAACGATCACTAACTAGTTTAAACTTTAACAATGTGTTGGGAAAATAGGAATTAATGTCTCCATTTACCCAATCATTAGGTGGCAGGTCTCTATTTTCTGGTGAACCTCTAACAATATGTATTGGATGTACTTTACTAATCCCAATTCCACTCGTTTATGTTCACTGTGACCTGTGGGGGACTTGAACCAGCGACCTTCTGGATCCTAAATGAAGTCCTTACTGACTGAGCTAATGCTGATCTCAATGCAAAATACTTATGTAAAGATTGACTACAGCTATCAGACTTCACTTCCTGTCACATGACTTTCTCGTGTGTGTGTGTGTGTGTGTGTGTGTGTGTGTATGTGTGTGTGTGTGTGTGTGTGCGTATGTGTGTGTGTGTGTGTGTGTGTGTGTGTGTGTGTGTGTGTGTGTGTGAGTGAGTGAGTGAGTGTGTGTGGCTGTGTGTGTATGTGTGTGTGTGTGTGTGTGTGTGTGTGTGTGTGTGTGTGTGTGTGTGTGTGTGTGTGTGTGTGAGTGAGTGAGTGAGTGAGTGTGTGTGGCTGTGTGGCTGTGTGTGTGTGTGTGTGAGTGAGTGTGTGTGGCTGTGTGGATGTGTGTGTGTGTGTGTGTGTGTGTGTGTGGTGTGTGTGGCTGTGTGTGTGTGTGTGTGTGTGTGTGTGTGTGTGTGTGTGGCTGTGTGTGTGAATGTGTGTGTGTGGGTGTGTGGCTGTGTGGCTGTGTGTGTGTGTGTGTGTGTGTGTGTGTTTGTGTTTTGTGTGTGTGTGTTTTTGTGTGTGTGCGTGTGGGTGTGTGTGTGGGGGGGCTTGTGTGTGTGTGGGGGGCTGTTGTGTGTGTGTGTGTGTGTGTGTGTGTGTGTGTGTGTGGCTGTGTTGCGTGTGTGTGTTTGTGTTGTGTGAGTGAGTGTGTGTGTGTGGCTGTGTGATGTGTGTGTGTGTGTGTGTGTGTGTGTGTGTGTGTGTGGCTGTTTTGTGTGTGTGGCTGTGTGTGTTTTGTGTGTGTGTGTGTGGGCTGTGTGCTGTGTGTGTGAGTGTGTGTGGCTGTTGGATGTGTGTGTGTTGTGTGTGTGTGTGTGTGTGTGTGTGCTGTGTGTGGCTGTGTGTGGCTCGTGTGTGTGTGGTGTGTGAGGAGTGTGTGTCTCTGTGGACTGTGTGTGTGGTGTGTGTGTGGGGTGTGTGTGGCCTGTGTGGCTTGGTGTGTGTGTGTGTGTGTGTGTGTGTGTGTGTGTGTGTGTGAATGATGTGTGTGTGGTGTGTGGGTGTGTGTGTGGGGGGGGGGCTGTGTGTGTGTGGGGGGGCTGTGTGTGTGTGTGGTGTGTGTGTGTGTTGAGTGTGTGTGTGTGTGTGTGTGTGTGTGTGTGTGTGTGTGTGTGTGTGTGTGTGTGTGCGTGTGTGGGCTGTGTGTGTGTGGCTGTGTGTGTGTGGCTGTGTGGCTGTGTCCTATATATAAATATAAATATGTAATAGAACTAAATATAATGTCACATATATCGTGTTAAAGCCTAGAATAATTACAGCGAAAATAAAACAATAAATATAAAACAAATTGAGACAAGCCAAAATGAATCACATAACATCATTTATTCTCAGGATCACAGACACGTTAAAATACACCTTTAACTAATAATGAAACGCTCTCAGACCAGAAGCTCCACGACCAGCACGAAGCCCCCCCCTCTCTACTTTAAATATAAATGAACCTGTTCAACAAGATAAATATCAACCATAACCTCTGTAATCTTCCCCCTTTGTAATGTCTGCTTCACAGAGAGATGTCAGCGAGTCGACCAGAGGAGAGCAATAAGAGTCTAAAAGTGTTTCCCCCAAAGCTGCAACCGGTGATCATTAATCTGCACGTTCGCAAAGGTATGAGCGTGAGTTAGGGCCGGGCGATATATTCATATATTATAAATATAAAAGTAAATGTCGTTTATCTGAATTTTAAGGCTGCATTAAATGAGATTTATTTTAGATTTTTCCACAATATAAAGTACCTAAAAAAGTACAATACTGGAGTAAATGTACTTTATTACAAAGTACTGATGATTATTTAGAAAAAAAATCATTGCAACGTATTTTTTTGAGGTATTTGGTCCAATATTTTTCTGCACATCACCCATGAAAGCATGTGTGTGTGTGTATGCCTTTCCAAAGTAGTATAAACTACCTCAAAAAGTACAATACTTGAGTAAATGTACTTTATTACACTGCATTACTGATGATTATTTAGCAAATATGCATATCAGCTTGCACAATGTAATGAATTTTGTCACAATTTCGAGGTATTTAGTCCAAAAATCTCGCTTTTGGTCAAAATAAATTGCTATTTTTGTGTGTGTATAACTCAAAAAGTACAATACTTGAGTTAATGTACTCTATTTTACTGCAAAATGCAATCTATTACTGATTAAATGCACATTCCTGAAGATTATCCAGCAAAATATAATGTATTTTGTCACAATTTCAAGGTTTTTGGTCCAACTGTGCATAACTGTGTGTGTGTGTGTGTGTGTGGGTGTGTGGGTGTGGTGTGTGTGTGTGTGTGTGTGTGTGTGTGTGTGTGTGTGTGTGTGTGTGTGTTAATGTACTTGAGTGCATGTACTCTGTTACACTGCACTACTATTATTTACCAAAAATATCATTACAGCTTTCACAATATATTGAATCTTGTCACAATTTCGAGGTATTTAGTCCAAAAATCTCGCTTTTTCCACGATATCACCCAGCCCTAATGTGCATAAAAGCGTGTGTGTGTGTGTGTGTGTGTGTGTGTGTGTGTGTGTGTGTGTGACAATGTGTGTGTTATCTACTGCTCTGCATTGACGCCCCCCTCCATGTCGTCCACAGACCTCTTCCTAGCGAACAGGTGAGTGGGGTCGCGACCTCTGAACCCCGGCTGGATGTTGAACACAGGTGTGTTCTTCCAGCTGGACGGGTTGTTGAACGCAGAGGCTCCGGCAGAATCTGCAGAACACGGTTGGTTCTGAAGAAGCTGCAGGAAAGTCTCCATGTCGGGACCCAAACGAGAAATAAGCCCCGCCCTCACCGCCGAAACCGTCTGCTCATCACATGACTGAAGCGTCTGTAGGAGAGTGCTGTAATATCTGCAGAGAAAACAGGAAACAGGAAGTCAGGAAACACTGAAACACACTTCATTCATTAAAAGGGGCCATCAAGTGTAGTACATTAGTATGTAGTCTCTACTTTAAAGAGTCCTGCTGATGTTCAGGTGTGTATCAGTATGTAGTGTCTCTACTTAAAGAGTCCTGCTGATGTTCAGGTGTATATCAGTATGTAGTCTCTACTTTAAAGAGTCCTGCTGATGTTCAGGTGTGTATCAGTATGTAGTGTCTCTACTTTAAAGAGTCCTCTCATGCTGATGTTCAGGTGTATATCAGTGTGTAGTGTCTCTACTTTAAAGAGTCCTCTCCTGCTGATGTTCAGGTGTATATCAGTATGTAGTGTCCTCTACTTAAAGAGTCCTCTCCTGCTGATGTTCAGGTGTGTATCAGTATGAAGTGTCTCTACTTTAAAGAGTCCTCTCCTGCTGGAATGTTCAGGTGTATATCAGTAATGTAGTGTCCCTACTTTAAAGAGTCCTCTTCCTGCTGATGTTCAGAGTGTATATCAGTATGTAGTGGTCCCTACTTTAAGAGTCCTCTCCTGCTGATGTTCAGGTGTATACCAGTATATAGTGCCTCTACTTTAAAGAGTCCTCTCCTGCTGATGTTCAGGTGTATATCAGTATGGTAGTGTCTCTACTTTAAAGAGTCCTCTCCTGTGATGTTCAGGTGTATATATCAGTATGTAGGGTCTCTACTTTAAAGAGTCCTCTCCTGCTCGATGTTCAGGTGTATATCAGTATGTAGTGTCCCTACTTTAAAGAGTCCGCTCCTGCTGATGTTCAGGTGTATATCAGTATGTAGTGTCTCTACTTTAAAGAGTCCTCTCCTGCTGATGTTCAGGTGTATATCAGTATGTAGTGTCCTACTTTAAGAGTCCTCTCCTGCTGATGTTCAGGTGTATATCAGTATGTAGTGTCTCTACTTTAAAGAGTCCTCTCCTGTTGATGTTCAGGTGTATATCAGTATATGTAGTGTCTCTACTTTAAAGAGTCCTCTCCTGCTGAATGTTCAAGGTGTATATCAGTATGTAGTGTCCTCTACGTTAAAGAGTCCTCTCCTGTTGGATGTTCAGGTGTATATCAGTATGTAGTTTATCTACTTTAAAGAGTCCTCTCTGCTGATGTTCAGGTGTATATCAGTATGTAGTGTCCCTACTTTAAAGAGTCCTCTCTGCTGATGTTCAGGGTGTATATCAGTATGTAGTGTCCCTACTTTAAAGAGTCCTCTCCTGCTGATGTTCAGGTGTATATCATATGTAGTGTCTCTACTTTAAAGAGTCCTCTCCTGTTGAGATTCAGGTGTATATTATGTAGTGAGCGTCTCTAGCTTTAAAGAGTCCTCTCCTGCTGATGTTCAGGTGTATATCAGTATGTAGTGTCCTCTACTTTAAAGAGTCCTCTCCTGCTGATGTTCAGGTGTATATCAGTATGTAGTGTCCTCTACTTTAAAGAGTCCTCTCCTGCTGATGTTCAGGTGTATATCAGTATGTAGTGGTCTCTACTTTAAAGAGTCCTCTCCTGCTGATGATTCAGGTGTATATCAGTATGTAGTGTCCTCTACTTTAAAGAGTCCTCTCCTGCTGATGTTCAGGGTGTATATCAGTATGTAGTGTCTCTGCTTTAAAGAGTCCTCTCCTGCTGATTTCAGGTGTATATCAGTATGTAGTGTCTCTACTTTAAAGAGTCCTCTCCTGCTGTTGTTCAGGTGTATATCAGTATGTAGTGTCTCTACTTTAAAGAGTCCTCTCCTGCTGATGTTCAGGTGTATATCAGTATGTAGTGTCTCTACTTTAAAGAGTCCTCTCCTGCTGATGTTCAGGTGTATATCAGTATGTAGTGTCTCTACTTTAAAGAGTCCTCTCCTGCTGATGTTCAGGTGTATATCAGTATGCAGTGTCTCTACTTTAAGAGTCCTCTCCTGCTGATGTTCAGGTATATATCAGTATGTAGTGTCTCTAATTTAAAAGTCCTCCTGCTGATGTTCAGGTGTATATCAGTATGTAGTGTCTCTACTTTAAAGAGTCCTCTCCTGCTGATGTTCAGGTGTATATCAGTATGTAGTGTCTCTACTT